ATCAAACTGCAGAACACAAAGTAATTTAAAAAGGAATGGTTAGAAAATCAATTCAAATTCAATGCATTTCTTAAAAATTAAATGAAGAGGAAAAAAAAACAGGAGCAGGACAGGAGTGGGAGTGATTCTGACCAGGAGCAGGACAGGAGCAGGAGTCATGTTACCAGGAGCAGGACAGGACAGGATTAATTTTTTTTACTCTGGACCAGGATTGGGACAGGACAGGATTTTTTTCTGTTGGACCAGGACATGACAGGAGTGAAAATCTACTCCTGTGTCATCCTCTAGTCCAGAGGTACACTGATAATGGTCCAGATAAGCGACATCAGTGCCAGAAAAACGAAGATCCAAAAGTTGTTGTCTGTCATACACTAGCAGAGAGTTGATGTCATTGATGAGGAATACAAAAAACAAAAATAATCCGAACACCATCATCAGAGGTGGATTGCAAGCCATGTACACGGGCGCCATCTTACCGAGAATAGATACAGTGAGATTATATTCGTACAGTCGTCCGAAAGATGGGTGGAGTGCATGTTGCTGCAGCTACAAGAGCGTGACCTCTTGCTCTTTATCAGAATACTTTTTAGACTGAAAGAAAAGGGGACGAAAACATGAGGAGAGTTGTATAAAAAGTAAAAAAAAAAATGGATCTTTCACACAGTGTCCTTGACAGGGCATGGATTGAGGCATCAAAAATGTCTATCTACTACAGCAAAGCAACATAAATGGACATAACACATATGCATGGGTAGAGGGTGGGGGTCCCAGAACAGCCGCCAGGTGAGCGATGCAGCCTTTGGTGCCTTCACATCTCCTAGGTCGTTTTCACACCAAATAGTCCGGTTGACTCGGTTCGGGACCAATATTCATGACCTTTTGTTTACATTTGAGCTGGTGCGTTTGCATTCACACTGCACTGTGCAGTCGAGCCAACCTGTTGAACCAACCTATTCCCCCGCTCGCCTGTGGGGGCACTGCACCAAGAACTACTGAAAGAAACGACACAAAAACCTCTGAAGACACATCATCTTCTGTAAATAAAAACAAAAATGAAGTGGCATCAAGTTTTAGCAGTTTTAGGAGTTATATTTTGTCATTTTTCAAAAATGGACTTAGCATGAGCAGAAGATGAGGCAAAAGACCATGGAGAATATTGTTTTTCACACAAGGCAGCTGACGGCTCCATATAAGGTAAGAAAAATGCGTGCTTGTTTGCCCAGCGTTGTACTCCACTTCTTGCTTGTTTAACGGGGCCTGGTCTGTTTACATTCACACTGTACTCGAACCGCGCTGGAATTCTCTTCTACCGGACCGAGACATAGGTTTTAGCCTGGGCCAGAGTTCGCCTTTTTGTTTGTTTGTTTGTTGATGGTGCGTTCACACCTCCCCAAACGAAACTGACTTTCTAGGAAAACGAGCTAGAGTTCGATTAAAGCGGACTAAAACAGAGCTGGTGTGAATGCACCCTAAGGGGTCGTTTACAAGGTGCATATTTTGAGTACATGCACACCTTTCTCTCTGCGGTTCTGCTGATCATTTACATGACACCAGTGGTTCCTCTCTTTGAATCCGAAGGTTTCCGAATCCACCTTCCAGAGTGGAGGTTTTTCACTGACCCCCCCGCTGATAATGTAAACATCTCCCGCTGAGGCTTTGTGTTAAACCACATGCGCACGCGCGGACAGACGCTATATTTCTATCCACATGGTGGCGGACACACTGCTTTCTGAACTACGACTGATGAAATATATTTTTAATCTCGTAGTTAATCTACGTCAGATTCCAGGTGCTGTGACAGACATCTGTGTTGGAAGAGACACAGTCTTATTGAGTTCTAATGTCGCTGTTTATAGAACGAGGCAGACGCACACGTCGCACTGCACTATAACATACTAAATGTGCTAAATAATAAGTTTAATAATAATAAACAGTTTTTATCTTTAGTTTGAAATATATAATGAAGCTCTATGAGCTAAATTAAGCTATCTGGACATTATGCAATTCAAATAATGTGATTAAAATTATGCTAAACATATTGCATGCTATTAACGTTGAAAATGAAGACATCAGGTTTAATTTTTATTTATTTATTCAACACCACAAACTGTATGTCACACAAACACTGATAATTAAACTGAACACACTATTAAAAACAAGTTAACTGTAAACTACATTAATGAACTGGACTCGGCCTTGTTTTCATCCTGGATGTCCCATGTTGTCCATCTGACTCGTTCAGGAAGTCACTCCTTTGATTAATGCAACTTAAAACATTCAATAGATTGAATAAAAGAACTGAGGGGAATTTTAAATAAATAGTCCATCCAACATCTCTCTCTCTTCAACGTCCTCCTGCACTGCACCTGGGCTGAGCCTCGTTCAGAACTTGTCCGCCTGGTGGGAGGACAGCTTCTTCTTCTTTCCGGAAAAATAAAAACTCAGTTGGTTGTTTTGTGACCGAAGGAAACACAAACTAACATTTCCTGATGCATGCTCAATAATCCAGGTAGAAAAATCCAAAAAAGTTCAATCTGGTCCTCTGGACATTCAAAAAAACAAAAAACAAAACAAAGCAAAAAAATCTA